TATGATGGCCTCAATATGAATCTTGTTATTGCTCTCATATCCTGTGATCTTGATAAATTTACTCGTTAGTTTGTACAGCTACTTGTAGAGTCTTTAGGATTTTCTGTATACCCAATCATGTCATCTGCCAATAAACGTAGTCCATCTCTTGCTTTTCAATATCAATAGTTCATTACAAACAAACAGTTCATTCTTTTACATTGTTGTATGGTATTTTGTTTTTAGAATATAATCCCTTTAAAGGTTTGAGAATTTCTTTTGATTTCTCTGTTACAATATTTTTAAAGACCTCAAGATAAAGTTATTCAAATAAAATAGGTTTTTTTCCCTCTTTTTTGTAACTCTCTGAGTACAGACAGTATGTGAATCCTACAAAGACTACTATCTACTATTCCCTAGGCTACTGTCCTTGCCTCGATGGTATGCGTTGGTCACTTCTCTTCATTTCTTTTTTGGTACTGGGGATTGAATTCAGTGACACCTAACCACTAAGCCATATCCCCAGAGTTTTAAATTTTTTATTTAAAGACAGGGTCTCACTCAGTTTCTTAGGGCCTCACTGAGTTGCTGAGACTGGCCTTGAACTTGGAGGTGCTGGGATTACAGGTGTGCACCACCATGACTGTCTCATCCTTCATCAGAGAAAACACAGTCAAAAGTCACAATAATTAAAAGGGAAGCTGGGAAATGTAGTTTCTAGAGGAGCAACTAGAAAAACTGAAAAGACTGGGATCAAATATCAGACTACCAGCCAAAAGCAAATGCAATAATACTTACAATATCTTCATGGTTAGATTTTTTTTTTTTCTGGTGGTGTTGGGGATTGAACCCAGGACCTTACACATGCTAGGCAATAATGGTAAGACTTTGAAACAACAGCAAAACAAAACAAAACAATCCCTTCCAGTTTGTGAAAATGCCTTGAACAGAAAGGCCAGTAGTTGGGGCTGGGGATGTGGCTCAAGTGGTAGCGCGCTCGCCCGGCATGCGAGCGGCCGGGGTTCGATCCTCAGCACCACATACAAAGATGTTGTGTCCGCTGAAAACTAACTAACTAAATAAATATTAAAAAAAAAAAAAAAGGCCAGTAGTTGTCCCGGAGTCCTGGAGAGGAGGGAGTTTTCCACCTCTGGAGTGCACTCACCCAGCACTGTTCATAGAATCGGCACAGGAAAAGAACAAGCCTGCATCTGTGATTTTTCCCTTGGCATGCTTCAGTTTTTCCTAGGCTGCTGCTGGAAGGAAATGAAACAGACCCAAGATGTGGAAAGGTGGAGAGGTGGAGGGAAGCCACTAGGTACAGACGCTCTGGCTACAGGGCAAGGTGACAGCTAACACACCAAGCAGAAGGGGAAGACAGTCTGAGATAATCTAATGCAGAGGAAATATCCTCACACACCTTTGAAGGTTCCCTGGCTGTGCTGCTGCCAAGCACGAAGCGAGGTACCTGCGGGCACCATGTGAAAGTCATTCCTAGAAGCAAGTGCAGGGTGCGGCCACGTGCACGTCCTCCGCACCCCTCTTTGCCCTCCTCCTCCCTTTTCCTCCGCATCAGAAACGAATCCTGCAATATTTTTTTTTCTAATCCCAATTAGATGAGATTTAAGTGAACATCGAGAAAAGGCTTTTAATAGGAAATTAAATTGCAACAGGAAAGCTTATAACCTAATAGGACAATTGTTGTGCGACCAATGAGGAAGGCTAAATGGACCAATACGGAACGGAATGTTTAGTGTAGTTTATGAAAATACATTTAATAGATAACAAGATTCTCACACTGCAAGGATAAACTTAAAACAACCTCATTCATTATTCAGTGGAATTAGGCAAATCATAGGTAAATATAATTAGGTATATCTAAAGAGCTAGGCATTTAATGGTCTCTCTCTCTCTCTCTCTCTCTCTCTCTCTCTCTCTCTCTCGGGATAGAACCTAGGGGCACTTTACCACTGAGCCACATCCTCAGCCCTATTTTTTTTATTTTATTTAGAGACAGGGTCTCACTGAGTTGCTTAGGACCTCGCTGACTTGCTGAGGCTGGTTTTGAACTTGTGATTCTCCTGCCTCAGCCTCCTGAGCTCCTGGGATAACAGGCATGTGCCACTACACTTGCTGTCATTCTTTTTCATACTTTATATAGAGAAAATATATTTGGTGACAATGGAATATGTAATGGAAATATTAAGGTTGTAGCTTACACTGGCTATAAATACGTCTGTGCTTATTTTCTTTGTCAGTTTTCCAATCCTGGAACTTGGATTTCAGAAGTAGTGCATAGCTGGATGTGATGGTGGACATCTATAATCCCAGCAATTTGGGAGGTTTAGGCAGGAGGATCGCAAGGTCAAGGCCAGTCTTAGCAATTTAGTGAGGCTCTAAGAAATAACAAAACACTGTCTCAAAATGAAAAATAAAAAGGGCTGCCTCAGTGATTAAGGACCCATGGGTACAATCCCTGTACCCCCCACCCCCAAAATGAACAAGTGCATATCAGCCAATCAAGTTAAGAATGTCATTTGCCGTCACTATAAAGAATTTCATACAAAGGAGGAAAATGACAGTATGGATAGATCAAAAGGCAGTAATCAAAGAACAATTTATATATTATTTAAGAATAGGAGCCAGATCAGGTGTGATTGTGCATGCCTGTAATCCCAGTGGCTTGGGAAGCTGAGTTAAGAAGATCACAAGTTAAAAACCAGCCTTGGTGACTTAGTGAGGCCCTAAGCAAAACCCTATCACAAAATGAAACATAATGAGGGCTGGGGATATAGCTCTGTGGTAAAGCACCCTGGGTTCAATCCCAAGTACAAAAAAAAAAAAAAAATTTTTTTTGCTATAAACCCAGCAGCTCAGGAGGCTGAGGCAGGAAGATCACAAGTTTTTCCAACATTTCTAATAAATAATAAGCAATATTATAGAGGTCTGACTTGAAGGTTACAAAGTTTCTTGTTTCCCTCTATTGACTCCAGTAAACCTAAGAATTAAGATAATTCAGTTCAACTCCATCAATAATTCACAAATATATTATTAATTGATTTATGATTTTAAATAGTAAGAAAGCATCTTGCCAGCTATAACTCCAAAGGAAGAATTTATGATAAAAGCATGGAACAAGAAGTTGGGTCTAGGGGCTGGGGATGTGGCTCAAGCGGTAGCGCGCTCACCTGGCATGCGTGCGGCCCGGGTTCGATCCTCAGCACCACATACTAACAAAGATGATGTGTCCGCCAAAAACTAAAAAATAAATATTGAAAAAAAAAAGAAGTTGGGTCTAAAGAATAGTCACCAGGACTTGGAAAGTTTACTAGAAATCTCTCTGCATGGCTGCTTCAGTCATTTCCATCTTTTTATTCTAAGGACTTAGAGATCTCCATTTCTTTAGACCGTGGGTAGAAGTTTACATGTTATTAATCTACTTACACAGACTTGTAATTTCTGAATTAAAATTTCTAGGAATAGGGAAACATATCAGCCCACTTTAGTTCAAGTTCCTACTTCTAGGCCTGTCAGCTGTGGCTGACGTGGCAAGATCACATATGCAACATATGCAACCAAAACTACAAAATCCTGTCAATGGAGAGGGAGGTCCAGGAGAAAGGAATTCTCAAGAGACGGGAAGAGAAGCTCCAAGTTCTCTTTGTATCTAGCCCAGAAATAAGCATCATGAGAACAAAAGAGATGTTCTTATTATAATCCTTATCCTTAAAAAAATCTCAATCTCATAAACATATATAAATATCAAGGAATAAACTATAGTACAATGATTATGTACTAAGCAATGGTTTTGATCAAAAGAGAGTTGGATATAGTGGCAATAACTCAAAGCTATGGAATCAAGTCTGGGTCTTGGCTCCCAGTCTTCATGGATTCTTGGATGAGTCACAAGTTCTTCAGTTGGGGCCCTTCATCTTCTTATGTGTAAGATGTGGATGATTATATTTTACTTAAAGGCATTTCATGATAATTAAATATAGCATCTACCAAACAGAGTACAAGGTAGAATCCAGGCTAGATCAGTTTGAATGCTGAGTGTGTATAAATAGACAACCGTGGTGAAGCACTGGATTATATGTTGGCAATAAAATTAAGATGCAGGTATTGGTTGACTTTGGGAAAAATCAAAGTCTTTTGTAGGTGGAAGGCAAAGTTACAGATAATTTCAATGAAACATACTTGTTGCCTGATTTTATATGTGGTTTGGATTGGTCTGGGAAGGTTTGTGGGAGGTGCTAGGACATGAGTGAGACTTGTGTTGTAGGTAAGATTTGAACAGGAACAGATTTGATATTCCATATCAAAATGGGATAAAGCCTGGGGCCAGGCTGATTTAGCTCTGCATGATTGATGGTTCACATTTTCTGTGGCAAGGAAGTTAAATTAGTAATTTAGAAGACTTTTTCAAACACTGCTGGTCTTAAATGGAGCTAAGGGAAATAGCCATATAGTTTTTAAGCAGATTTTTTTTACATGGTAAAGGATACTGGAGCCCACCCTCCCTCTACCTTGCCCTGTGGATGATTTACCTGTAGGTAATTGACAGTATGTATTCTGTGCTTAGTGGAAACGAAAACACTCAAGACATGTACATTTGATTTATTGGTACAAATTTAGAAAATTTATGCCACAAGCTAACAGAAGATAAATTTTAATACCTTCTTTGCTAGATTTAACTTGGGGAGAAAAAAAAATCTACCAGCTTTTGACTATTTTAAACTTGCTACTTTGATCCATTAGTCAAAGCCAGCCAGAGTGATTTACCATCTCAGGACAATTTGTTCACTTCACTTAGAAATTAGAAATGTGTTTTGGCCAATAAATCTAAATTTATTTTGTAGTAGTCATTTTTCTTAATGGAAGTGTTTTCCAGATGTTGCCTAAGTCTAGTCGTCTGGGCTGTCTTCCAATAAATGAGGAAAGTTTGATTTCATAGGTTGTCACTGTTGATTTTGTCTAACCTTTGGACTAATTGGTTCATCCCAATGTATTTGCACTGATATATAAGACTTCCAGGACATTGGAGAAATTCATCTGTCCTTTCACGGGTAAGTATCAAAGTTAACTTGCTCTGTGGGATTAAATGTGTTTTCATTTAAGGTGCTTGCTTGAGAAAGATTTATAAGGATAGTAGTTGGAGAGTTTTGAAAAGGATAATATTTATGCAATACACCTGTTGGAAGCCTATAAATTCATATTGAGAGTTAAGGAAAAGTCAGAGTATTAACTCCACAATGTTTATTAAGTTAAATTTTACTGAAGCTGGTTATTTTGTTTCCCATTGTAGGATTTAAAGGTTACTCTGTAAGTACATGCTATACTTGGAATAGAGTTTTTAAATAAGCCCATTTTCTATTTTGGAGGGTTCTAACATATTAAAGTGCTCAATAATGTGATTGAGGTGACTTGATGACTTGTTCTGCCTAAAAGGAAATGTAGTGATCAAATATTTTCTATAGAATTCCTCATGCTGATTAAAGGTTCAAGAATGGAATGGCTTTATTATTAAACTGCATTTTGAAAGTTACTGAAACATTGGGTATAATGCACACACACATTTATTTGATGGTGAATTTAAAGAGCATTTTTCTGATACATTTATTTTATTTCCAGTGAGAGTACAGTACCGGAAAACAACCATGGAGTGGAAAATACTACCCATTTGCTTGTTGCTGCTACTTTCTGTTTTTTTGATTCAGCAAGTTTCATCTCAAGGTACCTTAACCATCAAAAATATTTTTATTTAACAACTATTGATGAGCATTCAGTTTTTGATCTTTATGACAAGAAAATGAGTTTCAAAAATTGATATTTGCCTGAGTTTAATATTGAGTATAAACTTAAAGTTATGCAAAACATGTAATATATTTGTAAGTGCTTGGGAATTCTCATCCTTTTCTCCTACATAATGAAATCTTTCAAGAAGTTTTGAGCTTTTTTGTTGCTGTTGTTGTGTTTGCAAAGCTGGGGCTGGAACCAAGGGCCTAACACGCATTATACATGTTAGGCAAGTGCTTTACTACTGAGCTGCATCCCAGCTCAGAGTTTTGGTATAAAACAATTTTTGCAGTCATTATTCCTATAGTGCCCCCAAATGTTTAAACAATTCAGACCTTTACATGGCAAAACTAAGCTGGAACTCTATAATATCTCCAAAATAACTGTAAAGAACAATATTTAAGTCACATTTTCCCCCTCTATTTTGACAAATTTTTTTCCACCAAGAAAATTATTGTAAGTAACTTAATTTGGCATCTTGTAGATCTAGGTATTATACTATATGAACATTTACAATGTTTAATGTAGCATTTTATTAGTATTAAGCATTCTTTCTTTCTTATCAGAATTATTCATCCAAATACGAACTGAAGCATCCACAAATGTCATTTTGTATTATAATATTGAACCATTCATAGTCCTCACCAGAGTCAATCCTAGATGAACAATTTTTGTTATTCATTCTTAGAGAGGGTTAAGATATATTCAGCTAATCATGTTTGCACAGTTCTCTAGCATAAGCTTTAGGTGGATTAGTGGTAATAGTTCCCAGCTTTAGACTAGCCCCTTCATTCCATTTGATGTACAAAACCCAAGAGAAGAAAAATCAAGACTCAGGATCATTATTGTGAAGTTACATTTCTTCTTTCTTTCTTTTCTTTTTTTCTTTTTTCTTTTTGTATTGGAGATTGACTCCAGAGGCACTTAACCACTGAGCCACATCCCCAGCCCTTTTTAGTTATTTTGAGTCAGGGTCATGCTAAGTTGCTTAGGGCCTTGAAAAGTTGCTGAGGCTGGTCTTTAACTTTCGATTCTCCTGCTTCAGCCTCCTGAGTTGCTGGGAATGCTCCATCTCACCCAGCATAAAGTTACCTTTTTTTTTTTAAAATTTTTTAGTCTTATTTTTTAGTTGTTGATAGACCTTTATTTTATTTATGTTTATGTGGTGCTGAGAATCAAACCCAGTGCCTCACACATGCCAGGCAAGTGCACTGCCACTGAGCCACAGCCCCAACCCCATGAATTACCTTTTTAAAGTTAACATTACTTTTCTTTTCCTTCCTTCCTTCCTTCCTCCCTCCCTCCTTCCTTCCTTCCTTCCTCCCCCCACCTTTTTTTTAACCCAGTGGTGCTCTATCATCAAGAATAATCCCAGACCCTTTTATTTTATTTTTTTCTTTTGAGACAATGTCTCGTTAAATTATTGAGGCTAGCCTCAAACTTGTGGTCTTCTTGTCCCAGCTGTTCCAAGTAGCTGGAATTCCATGTGTGTGCCACCATGCCTGGCCAAAGCAGACTTTTCTAGTAAAATAACTAAAATTCTCATGAAATCTGAACAGGAGAGATTATTGCTTGCATAGGTATAGGTGTGGAATCACTCAGATAAGATGAAAAAACACAAGCAAACCAGGTCTAGGGATGTACCTTGGTGGTAGAGTGCTTGCCTAGCAAATGCAAGGCCCTGGATTCCAACCTCAGTACTGAAAAAACACAAACACAGAAAAGCAAATATAAGTATTTAACCTGGAGTGATGGCCAGTCTGGTACCCCTAGACCCTACGCTCTCTCATAATGGTGTTCCAAGATGCACATTACCTAGATCACCCTTTCCTTTCTGATATAATTGCTTGTTCACAGAAAGTTGCACTTTCTTTTGAATAAATAAAATTAGAATTAGTGGTTGTAATTAATAGTAATAAAAAATAAAACAGACATATCATCTATGAAAATTAATTTTTTCTGGTAAAGAGAATTGATTTCTTATTTCAGAAATCTGCTAAATGTAAAAGAACAATCTTTTGGTGTTGTTTTGTCTGCTTTTCTTGCCTTCTCAACCTCTTCTTATTCTTTTTTTCTTTATATATAATATATGTATTTATATACATACACTATATATGCATTTTTATATATGTGCACATATATATGTATGCAAAAGTTCTGAGAGTTATCCCACTCTTCATTGTTTATTTGCATATTAAGACTTTAACATTCCTGGATTCTCTTTTGAGATTTTTTCAGTGTGTTGCAACATCTCTCTTTGGATTTAGGACATTGCACCTGCCAATTTCTATTGCAGAGATGGATTCCACTGTTACATTCCTGTGGTTCTCTCTCAGGGAGGCTTTTGAAGTGTTGTTTTCCAAATGGCTTTTAGAAATATTTGAGGATAATTATGCTTTTAATACAGTTTTCCCAGAAAGACTCTGTTCATAACCTTTATATTCATGCCCAGATGCTATTTCAAGGGTTCTCTGTTGTCCCCACTAAAAAAGGAGAACACCTAGCAAAGTGTGTACTGTCCAAACAAGTTTGCTTTAAACTCATCATTGGGAATAAGAGGCAACGTAACTGGGTAGGAGAAGCTTGGGTTTTAGAATCTGGTATGTCAGAGTTCAAGTTCTGGATGGGTTGTTTACTTAGAGTGACCATATAATTTATTATCCAGGGATAATAATTAATAATAATAATATATAATATATATGTATATATATAATAATAACAACTCTTTTAAGGGATACTTAAAAGAGTTCAAGAGATCAGTGTAAAATAATTAGTTGGTCTTTGACCTATTAATAGGTAATTGTCCTATAATATACATTGGAACGATTAAGTAGCTGTGTGCCATTGAGCAAGTTATTAAAATTTCTGTTTTGGCATTTTTTATCCAAAAGGGCTACTAAGACTCTCCTGGAAACATTTTCATAAGCATTAGAGACAATGTATTACTCTGTACCTGGCCCAGAGAGGCTCAATAAATGGAAGCTAGTGGTCATCACAGCCACAGCAGCTGTAGTGGCCGCCCCTCCCCAAGAAATACTGTGCTTCACACAAAGCCCTTACTTTGCCTGGTTGTCAAAGGTGTATTTATCTTTTCAGTCTAGTGAAAAATAAAGGGACATGATCAAGGTTCCATGAGATCCACCATTTGTCATCAATCATAGCCATCATTCTCAACCTTTTTCCAGTTGATAAAATTTTCCCTCGCCCATTGGCTTTATCTTCCATATTAGTTCTCTCCCTTTCTCAAAGTGGTTTGGCCATGTTTACCCTAGTATTGTATGATTTTAGATGTACCAAGCTGTGCAGGGAGATGTGGGGAAGGGTATTCTAGAGATGCCATCTGCAACTGTGATTATAACTGTCAACACTACATGGAGTGCTGCCCTGACTTCAAGAAAGTCTGCACTGTAGGTAAGTCCCGTCTCTGCTGTCGCGTAGCACTGTTCCCTGAGCCTCCCCTGTGCCCCCTTGCAGTGTGGCTTTCCCTCTGTTTCACTTCCTTTGCTTAAGTGCCTTTCCCTTCACTTGCATAAATGTCGTGGTCACTGTACCTAGGGATGGGATGACAGCCTGTGATGACTGGGGAGTGGAGGGACGCCTGGAAATATGTCACTTGCACAAAATTATTTGACTAACTTCCAGTAAAATGCCTTTGTTTTACATAAAGATTTCATACTGTGACTCAGAAGTCATTAAGTAACTAGCAATGTGTGATCTTTAACTGACACAGGGGTAATTGCTTAGTGATGGGGGCTCTCCATAGTTTCGTCAAAGGGGTTCTTGGGCATACAGTAATCTTGTCTACAACCTGACTTTTTCGTATTACATATTTTTAAATTACCTGAAAAGGACACTCTTAAATTTGAAACACCAGTGTTTAATGATGAGTTTCAGTTAAAACTCAAAGGGTCTGAATTTTAGATTTTGATGGTGTTTCACTTGAACATATTTTGGGCCATTTTGCTATCAACTTCGAAACACTTCAAACTCAATTTATGAAAATTATCATTTTGTAAAAGTCATATTTGCTTTAGAATTTGCATGTGAAGCTGGTGAATATTGTTGTATAGTTTATGTGTTGGGTAAAGAAATGATTTCAGGTAGGCCTTGGTAAGTCTCTGTACCTCCACCCAAGGCTGATTTTGAAATGAGCAGGCTTCTCTTAATATAGTCCACACCATGAGATTAGGCTGAAATCTTTCAATTCCATACCTTGCGTAGTTGCATTATCAATTATTTTTGAGCCTCAACAGTGACTCATTTATATTGAACCAGCTCTTTGGAATATAATCATAAAATTTGAGTGTTCAACTAATTTCAACCTATTACAAAGTAATGGTATTGCGGGGGATGGAAGGAACTCATATGAAAGGTTCCCAGCATTCATATATGTAAATGGCTCAGACAGCCTTAGGGTGTCCCTTAGCAACTTGAAGGACAAGTGACATTTTCCCAAATACCCTTATTTCTTTTTTGACTTAGGTTGTCTCCATTTGGACATCATCCATTGTTTATTAGATGATGTACTTCAAATTCCAAATAAAAGACTTAGAAATGCACCTTTGGAACTCTAGTCAATTATCAGAAGGGAAATGGCTACCAAATGCATAAGTATGCCTTCGTATCATTAATTCATGTGTTTGTTTTGCTCCGGGTAGAGCTTTCCTGTAAAGGTCGCTGCTTCGAGTCCTTTGCGCGAGGAAGGGAGTGTGACTGTGACTCCCAATGTAAGAAGTTTGGCAAGTGCTGTTCCGACTATGAGACTTTCTGTGAAGAAGGTAAGCATGATGGTACCCAGCAATGTTTCTCAGTAGTATAGCCAGATCTGAAGCCCTTAGCTTCACTGATGATGTCTAACCTCAGTGCACCTAAGGTCTTGATTTTATTAATGCATTAGCTGCTTAATAATAATTTTGCTCTACAAAGATGAATTAAAGAAGAAAAATATCTTCCAACAACTGCAGCCCCAGGTATTGCTCCAGGAGCACAAGAGATCGCTGGTTGAGTAATGGAGAAGACAGAGATTGAGTGTATAAGCTTTTTTCCTTCTGATGTGGTTCAATTTCAAGTTAAATCAACAGTAATCAGCTCACTTTGTGATTTCTTGTCTCATCCTAATGGTACTGACTCTACAAAATCGACTGTCCTTTGGGCCTCAGTGTTTGAATACATATTTTGGACAGAATTGACACTTTCAGCTTTTCAACAAATAAATTTATGAACTAGTTTAAGCCACTATGTTTACAGGCAAATCTATTAAGAAGTTGTTAACTGTCAGTTATAGGTAACTTCCCATTCATTCCTAAGGTCCCCTCAGTAGTTTCTATACAATTGCCTGTGAATAATGAAGTCAATAAAAAGAGATAGTTTCTTTTAAAAATCTTCTTCCTTGGTCATAAGTTCTGAAGGAATACTCTGAGTATAATTAAACCCTCCAGATTTTGCAAAAAAAAAAAAAAAAAAAAAATTTTAAATACACTTACCTAATCGATTACTTTCCATGACTGAATGTTTGCTCTTAAACCATACTTTGTTAAAATGAGGATACCTGAAATTAAAAAATAATAATAATAAATGAACAATAAATAAAAAAGAAAAAGAAAAATGAGGCTATCTGTGGAAGTCATAGTGAAAATAAGCATGTTTATATAATCTTATCATTTTATTTAAACAAGGTTGTACTTCCTGCTTCTTTAGAACAGTGGAGAAACAGTGGAAATTGTTAACCAGCAGAGTTGAGGGATATTTCCTAACTGCTCAGTGTTTTCACTGGAAAGCATTCCAAAAAGAACAGAGACAACACCCATATAATCAAAAATCTCAAAGCTCAGCACTCCTGCAGCTTTCAGAAGGCCCCATGGTGGGAGATACATATTTACTCATTATCCTGATAATGGCTTTGGCTATGAGACAGAAAATACCTAAGAATTTATTTTGGGTGGAGGATGGAGGGAGGGAAGGTGATTAGAGAGTCCTGAAGCCTTGAGAGAACATTTAAATAAGGGCCTTACTTCATGCCACCAAGTGTACAGTACTTGAGGTCTAGGCAGAACTCATGACAAAAACTGATGACAGCAAAGCCAGTCAACTTCAATTACAGAATTCAAGTGGATTTCAGGATCCCCACTGAAAATAAAGGCACCACCTACAGTTTCAGTATTTTGCTTTTAAAAGATGGCAAACTATCCTAAATCTCGCTGTCAAGTTGTTTCAGGGTTTGCTCTAGATACTGCTTATAGGCATCTAGATATCTAGAAATCCTAACAGTTCAAGAACTGAAGGAAGTCATAGCTGTCCAAGTGCTTTTGATGCTATTGAGCTCAAGAAGCTGTTTGGCCAAGATGGCTAACTGGTATGTGGCAGAGCTCTTCCTCTCTGTGGGATACTTGGCATCTTTGGGTGGGAGAAGGAAGATGGAGAGGGAAGTGGTCGGTTCATGGAGCAGTAGAGTTCTGAGATGTTTGGAGGGAGCAGGAGGATGGATCACAGCTCTTCTCTACCAGAGGGCCTCCATTGCTGTTTCCTTACCTTCCAAAAGTTCCTTTCCTTTTCTTCTGGTTTCTATTGATCAAAAATGTTCCAAGTCTTCACTTTTAGACATGAAAAGGAGAAATGTAGTGTATGTGTATATGTTTGTGGGGGCAGATAAAAGGTTAAGAAGATACACATGGAATCATTAACACTTGTTTATCTTTGGGAAGGAAAAGTATAATGTGGAAGTGTGAAATTTTCATAATATTCATGTAGAACTTTGACAATCGAAAACATTAACTGGCATCATTTGATTCAAATACATATGAAAACAAAAAAGTATAATTATTATACTCCTCAAGACCATAAATACTCTGCCATCTGCATGCAGTACTATTTTTATAATCATGGAAGGATGGCATAATGGATGAAGCTCATAGAATCATTTTTTTTTTTAAGGTGGGCAAACACCTTCAGAAATCTTGAATAAACATCTCAGTTTGCAGATGAGAAAAGTTCATGAAAGGTTAGCCTATTTGCCCAAGGTCCTAATAGTGCATGCTTAGCACTGGCATATAGGTCTACTGATTCCCGAGACTTTGCTTCTGTTATAACCTACTACAGTTTGAGAATCAATATTTTACAGCAATGCAGCCTCAGAATTAGTTGGTTTGGACTTCTCTGTGTTATGGTCTAGAGCCTTCCTGCACTGGATTTTATCAGCATCTACTCTTGAAGCCAGATGCACCCATGCTTTTTACAGTTAGCATTGCTGATGATCATAAACCAGATGTTAACTGACCTGTCTTGCTTGGCCTCAGTGCACAATCCCACAACACCACCACCTTCAAAGACTGCACCTCCGCCTCCAGGAGCATCTCAAACCATCAAATCAACCTCCAAACGTTCACCCAAATCACCAAAAAAGAAGACTAAGAAAGTTATAGAATCAGAGGAAATAACAGAAGGTAGGAAGAAGACAGAAGGTAACTACAGGAGATTTCCTAGATGAAATAACCTGTAGTGTACCAATATAAAGTATTCTCAGAGGCTAATCTTATGAGTCATGAAAGGCTCATTACACTTTTTGTTTACTTGCTTTAAGTCAGTTTAAACCAAAGTATAAATTACCAGGCATTTATCTACATAGTCTTTTTATAGTTACCAAATCCAGTAAGGGTCTAGGTTAAAGTTATAAGAAGGAATAAATCTTGCTGTAAAAAAATGGGGGAAAAAAAGGAACCCATGATTTTCTTTGCAGAGTAATTAACTCCTAAGAAATTTTGGCATATGTGGGAAAGTTGAAAGTCATATTGGTAGTGAGTGGATAAACCCAGGGCATCTTGCTTTCAACAGATGAATTAAAAAGCAGTTGATCATATAATAAAGGCAGAACACAAGCATGTAGATCAGTTATCAGCAGTTCTTACTGTATTTGAACTGGCAACTTTTGTTTTGTTTTGTTTTAAATCATAGTTGGTGTGATCAAACTTTTTATTTTATAGAACATTCTGTTTCTGAAAACCAAGAGTCCTCTTCCTCCTCTTCCTCTTCCTCTTCAACTATTCGGAAAATCAAGTCTTCCAAAAATTCAGCTGCTAATAAAGAATTACAGAAGAAACCCAAAGGTTTGAGCATTGATAAAGATCACAGACTATATCAATGCCATATTAACAATAATTTTTAAGAAGTAATGCGTGTTAGTAGAATGAAGATATTTTCATTATGTGGGGGTGGGGGTACAAAACTTCATAAAAATAATTTTAGAAAGTACCAAATGAATACTTCCTACAGGAAATTAGTGCAAAGCAGCTAAGAAGCCACGCTTGAAAGCAAAAGCTAAGATGCTGTAGCAGTGACTGTGGAACCACAGGATGGCACCAGAGATGACATGTTGTACTGAGATTCCTGTCTACCGATAGTTTTGCTTTCTTTCCCTTCCTCCTCTTTGTGTTTTTGTGTGTCCTCCCCCAGCTTTATCTTATTTAACAAACATTTTTATACTGTTTTAAGTGTTTTACCAATAATCAAGAGCCCTCTTCCTCCTTTCATAAACCTCTTCAGAAAAGCAATATATTGTCCACATTTTACACATACTCTTCATTTTCCTAATAAATTATATCTGGATGATTTTTCCTAGAGAATGTGCTAAAGAATAGGCTCTTATCTCCTGAAAAGAGATTGCCTCTGTTCTTCTCTTTGTTATTTCCTGAAATTCTAAAATATGTTCTTTCTCTAGGAAATACTGAATTTTTAAACTCTTATTTCCTAGGTGGTTGTGAAGCATCCTCTCTAGCCAAATAGCCAGATATTTAGTCTTTGAGTCATTCCAAGAATAGAGATGCACAGAGTAGAAATGCAATACATATCTGTTAAATGGAATTCATCTCAGTGAAGTGCCCTTTGGCTTTGCAGTTCTCCTGTTGGGTAGCTGCTTTGGGAACTCCTTTTTGCTGCTCTGGCATCCTAATCTCCTCTTTTGGGACTGTCAAGTTTAGCTGAGCAGGGGAAAGAGAGCACTAATAGCTCTATGTATGGGAACAGGGCTCAGCAGGAACCTATGGGAAGAATGAAGCCCATTCCCAGAGGCGAGTGCAGAGGCCTCTGAGTTAATGGGTGTAGTGACACAAGATATTGGAACTAGTTTCCTAGGGGGAAAGGGCAGCACTGTGTAATGAGGAATAAGGGTGGGGGTGGGGAAAGTGAAGAGAAAGAACATTAATGTAAAAAGATGAATTAGTATTATTGATCATTTTGGTGACTTCAGAATGGCTTCAATCTATTCATTTTCTTTCCCTAAAGTAATATTTTGAGCTGGTTATAGTGGCACAAGCCTATAATCCCAGTGACTGGGGGTGTTGAGGCAGTGAGATCACAAGTTTGAGCCTAGTTTCAGCAATTTAGCAAGACCCTGTCTCAAAATTTTTAAAAAAGGACTGGGAATGTAGCCACACACAAAAAGAAAAGCAGAAGAGAGGTTGAATATTACCATTTTATAATAAATTATAAAAGTTAGCAATATGTCCAGAAACACACAACTAGTCAGTGATAATGATCTTTATGTCACTACTGAAGGGGAAAATAAAAAAAAAAAACTTAAAAAATAACAAGATGTATGTTTTTTCCTTAGTAAACGATGACAAGAAAAAACCACCTAAAAAGGAACCTAAAAAGGAACCACCAGTTGAGGATGAAGCTGGAAGTGGCCTGGACAGTGGCGATCCCAAGCTCACCCCAACTCCTGACACTCCTACCACGCAAAACAATAAAGTTACCACATCTCTCAAGACTCCAACAATAAAGCCAGAAAGTCTTAAACCCAGTCCTCCGCCTAACTCTGATACATCCCAAAAGACATCTTCCACAGCCAATAAAGAGACAACAGTTGAAACTAAAGAGACTACTGTAACAAACCAACAGACTTCCACTAGTGAGAAACAGAAGACTACTTCAGCTAAGGAGATTCGAAGTGCAGAGAAAACATCTGGTAAAGATTTGGCACCCACACCCGAAGTTCCTGCTAAACCTACACCAAAAGCTGAAACTACAACCCCCAAGGAACCTGCACCCACCACCACTAAGAAGCCTGCACCCACCACCCCCAAGGAGCCTGCACCCACCACCCCCAAGGAGCCTGCACCCACTACCCCCAAGAAGCCTGCAACCACCACGCCCAAGGAGCCTGCACCCACCACCCCCAAGGAGCCTGCACCCACTACCCCCAAGAAGCCTGCACCCACCACGCCCAAGGAGCCTACACCCACCACCCCCAAGGAGCCTGCACCCACCACGCCCAAGGAGCCTGCACCCACCACGCCCAAGGAGCCTGCACCCACCACCCCCAAGGAGCCTATACCCACCACCCCCAAGGAGCCTGTACCCACCACCACTAAGAAGCCTGCACCCACCACCCCCAAGGAGCCTGCACCTACCACCCCTAAGGAGCCTGCACCTACCACCCCTAAGGAGCCTGCACCTACCACCCCCAAAGAGCCTGCACCCACCACCCCCAAGGAGCCTGTACCCACCACCACTAAGAATCCTGTACCCACCACCCCCAAGGAGTCTACCACCACCAAGGATCCTGCACCCACCCCTCCGGAGGAGCCAATACTTACCATACCCAAGGAGCCTGTACCTACTACACCCAAAGAGCCTGCACCTACTACCCCCAAGAAGCCTGCACCCATCCCTCCAGAGGAGCCTGTACTTACCAACCCCAAGGAGCCTGCACCTACTACACCCAAAGAGCCTGCACCTACTACCCCCAAGAAGCTTGCACCCATCCCTCCAGAGGAGCCTGCACCCACCCCCCCCAAGGAATCTGCTCCCACCACCCCCAAAGAGCCTGCACCCACCACACCCAAAGAGCCTGCACCCACCACCCCCAAGGAACCTGCACCCACCACACCCAAAGAGCCTGTACCCACCACACCCAAAGAGCCTGCACCCACCACCCCCAAGAAGCCTGCTCCTACTACTCCTAAGACACCAGCTCCAGCTACCACCATGGAGCTTCCCACTACCCCCAAGACTCCTGCTGAAGCAACTCCTGAGTTTTCTGCAGGACCCACACCAAAAGCTCCTGACAACAGTGCCAAGGAGCCCACTGTACCAACAACCAAGACTCCTGAAGTGACAACCGCTGCTGTACCTAAGATTACAACAAAAGAGACAGCAACCACAGCAGAAGAAAAAACAACTGAATCCGAAATAGCAAGGACCACCATGCAAGTAACACCCACCACTCAGGATTCATCATTCAAAACTACTACTCTTAAAACAACACCAACTGAAGAGAGTAGGAACGAACCCGAAGAATCCCGTGGACCAGAAGACACAGCTACTGATTCTAAAGCAACAACTCCTAAACCCCAGAAGCCAACCAAAGCACCCAAGAAGCCCACCTCTACAAAAAAGCCACCCAAAGCACCCAAAAAACCCACTCCTACCGAAAAGCCAAGCTCTCCGAAAGGGAAAACACCAAAAACTACACCAACTCCCCCCAAGACGACAATACCACCTATCTCTCCAAAAGCCGTGCTCCAAACCACCACCAGCCCTAAGCAAACTCCAGACTCAGAAACAGTTGAAGTTAATCCAAATAATGAAGATGCAGAAGGTGACGGAGGAGAAAAACCACACATGATTCCCAGGCCTCCTGTGCTAACTCCTATAGTTATCCCAGGCACTGATCACATAGTGAGAGGACCCAGTCAAGGCATCAGCTCCCACTCCCTGCTTTTAGGTAATAGAATTACTTTCATTTTAAAAACTGGTAATGTTAATTTATATCTATCTGAACTAGAATGCCCTAATTTACTATTACTCTGAGATACACATACTATCTAGAGCCCCAAACTTTTTACAGCTTCCCTATAGGTAAGCAGACGAAAAATCCAAGTAAACTTATCCAGTCTTTAGAAAGTCAAGTAATAACCTATGGTTAGGAATTTAGCACATCCTCCTAAAAGTACATAGAATGTCAAAAAAAATTGAGGGCTGGGGATATAGCTCAGTTGATAGAGGGCTTGCCTCCCATACACAAGATCCTGGGTTCAATCCCCAGTACCACACACACACACACACACACACACACACACACACACCAAAAAAAAAATCGAGTCTATAAAGAAAGTACAATGCAAAGCAAAAATTCTTACTTCCTTTTCCAAAACAACCCAAAGAGCAATGACTGAAAACATCAGTTCAAACATCCAATAAATGCCTAATTTATATGAAGACCAAGATAAACTTGGGCTGGGGTTCTGGCTCAGTGGTAGAGCGCTTACCTAGCATGTGTGAAGCACTGAGTTCGATTCTCAGCACCACATACAGATAAAATAAAGGTCCATGGACAACTAAAAAATATTTGGGAAAAACAAAGCAAAACAAAAACCTGGCCCAGCCTGGTACAGTGGTGCATACCTGTTATACCAGCCGAGAAAAGCTAAGACAGTAGGGTTGCAAGTTGAAGGTTAGCCTTAGCAATTTTTTGAGACCCTCAGCAACTTAGCAAGACCCTGTTCAAAATTAAAAAAAAAAAAATCAAAAAAGAACTGGGGATGTAGCTCAGTGGTAGAACACCCCAAGTTTAATCCCTAGTACCAAAAGAAAAGAAAAACAAAACCAAAAATCAAAACAACAAGATAACCTGGCCAATCCTGGTTCAAAATGTTTTTTTTTTTTTTTTTTTTAATAGTATCATCCTTAGGTAAGATGGAATTATAAAACATCACCTTTTTTTCCCTTTAAAAACAATTTTTAGTTATTGATGGACATTTATTCATTCGTTTATCTGTATGTGTTGCTGAGAAATCAACTCACACATGCTAGGCAAGCTCACTACCACTGAGCCAGCCCCCACCTTTTTTCACTTTTGAAATGTAAATACCTCAAACTGCTTTTTAAGAGCTTGGGTAAGTAGGAAGCAATCCTGTGACAGAGGATTTGAAAAGAACATAGTTTTCTCATTCAGATTACTTTTGTTTATTTGTTTTAGATGATACCAATTTATGCAATGGCAGACCAGTAGATGGACTGACTACTCTGCGCAATGGGACATTAGTTGCATTTAGAGGTGAGCTATGTACATACTTCTGTCTCTTCCTATTATTTTAATAGTTACAGCATTTAAGACAGCCAAAGTCTTGAGAGAGTGCTAGCAGGGTTGAACTTTCTAGAGGGGAACTTGATTGATAAACCCACTTTCACAAAGTGAGAATTCGGGAGTAATATCCCAAATATTGGATTAACAAAATCAGACACATGAAGATGTGTGGATACTATTAAGATTTTTCCTACTGTTAATATTTAAACTTCACATATGAAATGACATCAGGATTTGCAGGCTTTGCTCTATCTTTAAAAATAACATCTCACTTGTGATGCTTTCAAAGGAGTCACACTCCTTGTGAAAGAGTACCAAGAGAATAGCAATTACTATGTTTTCTGCAGACCCCCTGCTAGTCCAGTCTTCTTAAAACATATATAGATTAAATTTGAAAAGAAGCAAATCATACATAGAAGTTATGGAAATTTTAGAAGTCATTAAGTTGTTAATCCTTTAATTCTAAAAGATAAAGACACTGAAATCCAGAAAGGTGACTTTCTCTTTAAGTTACAAAGCCAAAAGTCTCTTTCTATAAAAACTATAAAACTGAAATATTTCAAAGCTTAAGTTAAATTTCAGACTTTAAGAATATTTCTACTTGGAAATATTTTAATAAGTCCCTTCTGTATCTTATTATACTTTCAGTCAGACCTATTTAACATAGTCTGTTTTTCTTTATGATTATCACTAAAGTTTTGAAAATTTTGGTTTCTTTGGGGATAGAGTTTAGTATTCAGCACATAAGTTGCCACATCTTTTTAAATTTTAGGTCATTATTTTTGGATGCTAAATCCATTCACTCCACCACCTCCACCTCGCAGAATTACTGAAGTTTGGGGTATTCCTTCACCCATTGATACTGTTTTTACTAGATGCAACTGTGAAGGAAAAACGTTCTTCTTTAAGGTAACAAAACTATACTGCTACAGAATCAACAAATAGTAACTGCAGTTTATTACAATGTAAATCACCTTAAGCTCCAGTTCAGAAGGGTTCTTCTATTTTAATGAACAGTTCTATCATCAAAATAACACAGCTTGATATTATTAATGGTATTCAAACATTCAATTAAGTTAACATCTTCTCCTTATAACTTAAATTTAAGAATGAGTTAAACATAATTTGCTCTTTTAAATATCAGGATTCTCAGTACTGGCGTTTCACCAATGATGTGCAAGATGCAGGATATCCTAAACAAATTGTAAAGGGATTTGGAGGACTAACTGGAAAAATTGTGGCAGCTCTTTCAGTAGCTAAATATAAGGACAGGCCCGAATCTGTGTATTTTTTCAAGAGAGGTATGTATTATATAATTGACAAAAATTACGAAACATTTTAAAGAATTATTACTTAGTACTGTCATTTATTACTGAGCTTACTGTCAAAAGATATCTTTAATGGCTAGAATAAAATATTTTCAATGAAAAGCTAAAAACTGAGGGCAGTAATAAGTATTTAGATCTCTTGACATGCACATGTAGTTCATCTAAGTTTTCAGGTCACTGAGATAAAGAACATCCTCATTTACTTTTGGTTAGTTTACTTATTCAACATGTATTTCATGATTCAGTGACTGTTTTGCCATTACTAATATCTAATCATATTTTTTTTTTATGAAAAACAAGTTGATTTCCTTCATGCTACAAAAGCTCTTTTCCATCTTTTTCTGGGTGGATTAATATCAACTTTACATATTCCATGGTTTTCATATTCTGTATGGTTTTCTGATATACAACAGGTGGCAATGTTCAGCAGTATGTTTATAAACAGGAACCTGTTAGAAAGTGCACTGGAAGAAGGCCTGCTATAAATTATTCCGTGTATGGAGATGCAGCACAGGTCAGGAGACGTCGCTTTGAACGGGCTATAGGACCTCAAACTCACACCATCAGAATTCACTATACACCTGTTGTTAGAGTTTCTTATCAAGACAAAGGTAACGTTTTAAGTGTTTAAAATTCCTAAACCTGAAGTAGACGCACTAGTTCCTTATAAAGTAAACCTTATGAAACACAGATCACACTGCCCTAATAATTTAAGTTTATCGATGCAAAATATATCAATTTGCCTTAGTGAATAATCAAAAACCAGTTTATTCTTTTTATGTGTGGGCAAGGAAAGCAGTTTATTCAAGTTAACCATAGTAAGTGTCATGTATGAAGTACATCTTACCAAGAGCATTCTATACAGATCTGTAATCCTCAAGACAATCTTAAAGGTAGATTATATGCCTATCAGAGGGCAAAAACTGAAGCATTGAAATTAACATCTCACCTAAATAACAGAGCTACTCAGTGAAAACAGATAAAACCCTTTGTTTGTCAAGCTCTTTCTTAGACATTGCTTTTAAGATAATGCTTTTTAATCTGACAACTTTCATTAAAAATGCAGGTACCCTCCATAATGAAGTTAAAATGAGTACGATGTGGAGAGGACTTCCAAATGTGGTTACCTCAGCTATAACACTGCCCAACATTAGACGACCTGATGGATATGACTACTATGCCTTTTCCAAGGGTAAGTCCTTAAGGAAAATCTTAGCTGCTCAAGTTGATCTCACTTGTGAAAATATGAATATAACACCTAGTTCACTGGTGACTGAAGGTGACTTCAGATATAATTCTTATTCTAACTGCTGTTAAGGGGAGATTTTTGTTTTAATTTCAGTTAAACTGTGATGGGACTGAAATCCAGTTCTACTCTACCCTTTGTGATGTTATAACATATCCAATTACTTGGGTAAAACCGATGCCTAAAACAGTATTCTACTTCTATCATCTGGAACATTTAACAGATGCCATGAAATAAGAAGGACATTCCTGAGAAACTAATTTTATTTTGAAAAGTGCAGAAATCTAATTTATTCTTCTTATGATTCTATAATATGAATGGCATCAGAATGTATTTTTTTTAGTTGTAATTGGACACAATACCTTCATTTTATTTATTTTTTATGTGGTGATGAGGATCGAATCTAGCACCTCACACGTGCTAGGCAAGTGGTCTACTGCTGAGCCACAACCCCAGCCCCAAAATATATTTTTTAAAAAAGGATAAAATAATTTTTTTTTCAGAAAAACCGTATTCTTAAATGCTTACTTCAAAAAGGAGAGTTGAACACTAAATTAATAAAAACATTTCTGATATTAAAAATGCTAAATGCTGTATTTTACATCATCAATACAATTTAGTTCATATATATTCTTTTTAATTAAAAAATAATTTCTCTTTCATTTAGATCAATACTATAACGTCAATGTGCCCAGTAGAACAGCAAGAGCAGTCACTACTCGTGATGGGAAGACCCTCTCCAAAGTCTGGTACAAATGTCCTTAGACTTACAGGCAAAGGAAGAGCCATCTAATTAAAATGAAGAAAAGGATGATCAATTTTGACATTGAAATACATTTTATTAATAAAGAGTGTTGAGATAAGCATACCAATTTAAATACAAAAATGTTTTTCAACTCGACAACCATTACACTAAAACAGATTTGACAATTTTATTCACAGGAACTATATAGTTTACAAACAATTTAATTAATATTTCCTCTATTTATTCCTCCTCTTCCTCCCATTGCATGGCTTACACCTGTAAAAGGAAACAATAAGAAAGAAAAAGAATAAAAAAAGAGGAATGCTTTAGAACAAAATTTCTTTTTCTTTTTGGTACTGGGGATTGAGCCCAAGGGTGCTTAATCACCGAGCCACATCCTCAACTCTTTTTATTCATTATTTTGAGATAGGGCCTTACTAAGTTGCTTAGAGCCTCACTACATTGCTGAGGCTGGCTTTGAACCTTTGATCCTCTTGCTTCAGCCTCTTGGGCTGCTAGAATTATAGGTGTGCACCACCAAGCCCAGCTAGAACACAATTATTTCTTCTTCTTTTTTTTTTTTTGGTGGGGGTAGGTACCGGGGATTGAACTCAGAGGTACTCAATCACTGAGCCACATCCCCAGTCCTATTCTGTATTTTATTTAGACAAAGGGTCTCACTGAGTTCTTAGGGCTTCACCTTTGCTGAGGCTGACTTTGAACTCGCAATCCTCCTGTCTCGGCCTCTCAAGCCACTAAGATTAATTAAAGTAATGTACCACTGTGCCCGGCCAGAACACAATTATTTTCATTAAAGTATCTAAGCACCATGGATATAAAACTGTTAGTCCCACATGCTTAGTGGAAATCATTAGAATACTTAGATTAATATTTTAATTATATAATTTCAATCTGATATTTAATCAGAAGACATGGAGATATTAAAATTTTACATTTTTGACTAACCACAACAAAGACAAAAGCTTCATTTGTTGTACAGCATAATTATTTTACAATATAAAGTAGTGATGTTACAAATGAACCCTATATACTAGATTTTTCAAATCCGACTTCAGACTTAAGGAAGAAATCAACAAAGAATAAACACACATTCCATTTTATTTCTATGGTACATATATCTGTCTAAATTTACCTCTCTGTCTGTTAAACTGACGACCTCGGACACCTTGTCTCAGTGTTGTCTGAAGTCTCACTCGTCTGAAAGGCTTTGGCTGACTACTGCTAGTATCTAAGAAAACAGAAGAAAAGCAAGTTAAAAAAACTTGTTAAATTTTTAAGAAAGCAGTTATAATGGCAAAAAAAGTTACTAAATGAATATATGGATAAAATAAAGATGTTAGCTTTCAATATTTAAGTTTGCTTTTTAACAACAAAGGGACATTTAACAAACAAAAAATGTTTAAGTAAAACAAAACAAAGCAACCCACTAAATTATAGCAAAAAATAAAAGGTCTGACTTTTTTCATTCATACCCATGTATCAGACATGGTAGTAAATGCAGGGAGTACATTGTAAAACAAAATGTAAGGTGCTGTAGAGACAGATCATTATTAACACAACATAAGTCCTGTCTGACTCTACTCTTTTTTGAATACCTTCAATCCAATTATTAGTAAATCCTGCAAGCTTAAATTTAAATATATATCCTAAATGGGACTACTTCTTAAAAATTTTCGTCTGTAATCCTGTCCAACCCATCTTTCTTTATCCTGAATTACTGAAATAGCCTCCAAAATTTCTCCTTGTTTCTGTCCATTGCTCATTTCAGTTATATACTGCAGCCAAACTGACAGTCGATCATGCCATTACTCTATGTGAAGCCCTTTGGTAGTTTTCTATACCCGAGAACCCCAGGGCAATCACAAAGATCAATTTGATCTATCCTCCTCACCCCACTGTGTCTCCATTCTGACCTCCTTGCAGACTCTGAACACATCAGACACTACTCGATGTCTTATAAATTTTGCATCTGTGATTTATTTTGATCTCAGAACACTCTTCCACCAACCACTGCACAGCTTTGATCTCCTTCCCCCTTTTTTAGGTCTTCACTAAATCTGTCTTAGTGACACTTTCTGTGAAATTGCCTGGAATATGGCAGACACTCAAGTATTTATTGACCAAATGAATAACTGCTTGGATGGGGAAGTACAGTTTACATTATCAAAGAAATTTAAAGACATCCTAATTTCATAATGAACAACATATTTTTCTCAGAGAATGCAATCTTAAAACTAATATCAATTCTACTACTGAGAAAAAACAATTGTCATAGATCATCAAAATATAATTTGGGAGTATAGAACCTCAGTAATTTTGTTAATTATGACAGTTACATTTTTTTGAGTCTTCTGTGTACAAAATATTAATTTGTATAATTTACACACATTATTTCTAATTGTGATATTTCACAATAAGACATCCAGAAATTTAAAGCAGGTTTGCCATAAAATTTGATGTTTCCATGGCAGTTTCAGGATTCTTGCTTTATATAAAAAACTTAAAATGAAAATAATCAGGGTGGACAGAGTATTATATTTCTTAAATAATACAGGTGACTCCCTGCCTGAAAATTTTGAGATAGATATGCTACTATAATGTGTATTTAAGAGTGAAATCTGCAGAGCTGAGCTTCTTGAATTTGCATCCTGGCTTGTCTATCACTTACATGTGACCTTGAGAAGTTATTCAATCTTCCTGTATCTCCGTCTCCACATTTTTAAAACAGTGGGTTTTATTTATACCACACTGGGTTGTTGTGAGAATCAGAAGAGTAAATATTTGTAAGAGACTTAGAATACTGCCTGAAACACAGTCATTGCTCAATAAATGCTGTTTTTTTTTTTTAAATTACAGAAATACCTTATTAGAGAGATGCATAATCAAAAACATAAAAAGCCAAACTCTGTAACCGTTTACTCCAGTAAACTTCAAACATATTTTCTAAAGCAACAAAGCCCCCACCCTTCAACCATCCCTATCACATCTCATGCAGAACCCCACTATGTAGAACAAACAAAAATGAAGCTGCTGGTTCAAACAGTGGCAGTAGGTCTGGAGAACTTGTCCTTAGCACTCTCTCTAGTACATATGTCCCCTATGCCCCTGGAGCACCTCTAAGAGACCCAAAGTTTCTATAGAACATTATGGTGAAACGTGAGTGGGTCCATAGTAGCCATGTTTCTGATTATTAATGCTGGCATACTAGAATAATAATAAATATAAACCAAGTTCCCTTTAATGATAATAAAGTTGTACTGTAATCAAGAGCAGTGACTTACCTACAGAAGAACTGGAAGGAGGATCCTGGCTGGTGGAAGGGAGGTCTGACTCATCAGATGCCTGCACAGGTTCTTCTTCCTGCTGACTATCAATTTCTAGGCCTGCTTCTGAACTAATACTATCAGGAAAAAAAAAAAAAGAAACAAAAATTGATTAGAAGACATAAAATGGATTCTGGAATGTTTCCTAAATTTTTCCTAGATTCTCTTTGATATTCTTTTTTTAACTAAAAATCACAGATTCTGTTAGTAGTCATATACATTTTTTAAAGGGACAGTGGAAAAATGAGCTTTTTTCCTCATTCTTTTTCTCACTAAGACAAGGACATGTTCCAATTTTAGTTTTTGTTTTTCCTTTTCTGAGGAGGGGGACAGTTAACAAGGATGTTTTATATTTTTGACACTTAGCTCTCATATTGATAATCAGCATTGATAATCTATTATATAGATTTTGACAAACCCCAAAATACTTTTTAAGGAAAGCAGAGTACTAAAATAATTCACAAGTCATAAGTTTTAATCAATATACCAGTAAACCACCATGGGCTGTCGTTCAGATAAGACAGGTTATGGGGATGTGAAATTCTTTGCTCAATGGCTATAATTCCATCTTTCTATCTCATTCAAAAAACAAGTGAGGGAGATAGAGTGAAAAAGAATAACCATGTTGAATCTCCTCCAGTTTCATCATCTGCAAATATTCGTACAGTTATTAGTAACAATTTACCTGAGAGACATCTCTGAGGACGGTGTGCCAATGCTGAGAAATGCTGGTGAGATGTAAAGAGCATGGGGCTAAAATCAAGGCTTCAACTCTTACTTAGCACCAGCTGGTTACCCAGGAGTACAGCCTAAGCAAATATATTTTCACACAGCTGAGTCTGATCTTTACCATTTATATTAATGGAAAATAATATTCTGCAGGAATATTGTGTAGATTGGAAATGACATATACTGGAAGTATGGAGTTAAAATTAACTAGTGCTCTCAGTAGCATCTGTAACCTCCTGATAATCAAGTAGAGATTAACACAGATCTGTATTATACCTAAAAGACTAGACTTGGCTTATCTGAAATGTTTCAAAATAAAACAAAGTCCTAGCTTTTCCTCAGGAAATCTGGGTTCTACTGCTTCTTATACTTCTGACCATGAAGTAGTTGACCTTTTTCCTTTTATAAAGAACTAGGTTCCAGCTTGAAAGTTAATTTGTCTAGGCTCCTTTCATTAAATTACTCTACTCCCTTTGGATTAAAAAAAAAATACCTGCCATAAAATACTTTCTTTGTAAAGCCTTCTTTATAACTGATGTGTTAAAAATGTTGTAATGTCTTGAAAACTACCAGAAAATCTTTAAATTTTATGAAACCAGTATTTCAGACACCAAAGTCTAAAAGCTCGTAAATAGTGAGAATTATTTGAGAGCCCACTACTAAATGGAAAGTGAGTCATTTCCTAATATTCCCAATTTTCACAGATAGACTTCTTTCTTGGAGAGCAATTCAAGCAGCTATAACAGAAGGGTACCAGTACTTTTAAAGAAATATTATTTTTATTTACATTATGCAATTTTCAGGGAGATAATGGTCTTAAAAATTGCCTCCTATAACAATCTCCAAGTTCTAAATATACTTTTATATCCAAAATAGCTTTTCAAAATATGTGATTCAGTTTATTTTTTTATGTAGTAAGATGATGTTGAAAACTGAGCACAACAGATGGTTTCCTGGCTAAAAGAAAGTAAGCGTGTAGTCCAGTGGTAAGAGCACTTGCCTCGAAGGTGTGAGGCCGTCAATCCTCAAGTACCACATAAAAATAAGTAA